ATATAAATATGTAAGCACATGAAATTCTACAAGTGCACATCTGTTGTATTTTCTTGCAGCTGCTAAAAAGAATTTGCCGCCGAAAGGATGAGCGTACTTGAGGACTTTGTTAAAGGATTCGTACTTATACTATTGTAAATGACAGTAGAGGCTTCGCATTTAGGTTAATGTCTGTGTGTTAGTGTGTATGATGATGTTTGCCATTTTAAAGGCTATACGGTGCAGCTTTTTTCCTCTTGACAAGAGGGAGCAAAGGTCTATTTCGTGTGCGACAAATCTACACTTATTAAACACATACGGGCTTTGTACACAAATATACTGTAAAATTTGCTTTTTGGTAGCTTTAAAAATACCTGCATAAGTATGTGTGCGCGCTGGCTTCAAAGCTCAACATTTTGCGAAAATGAGATTTTGTGAAACGGATTTGTTTGACATAGGTATAACATATGTACGTACAACTTGTACAACAAAATAGCTGAATACCAGCAACTAGTATTTATTTGTTCAACCAATGTATATACATAGGTATATGCCTTTTCTAAGCTGTGGTCAAGATGCTCAAAAGCACTTGATATTTAAGAAAATTGTCAACAATAAAAACCGAAACAAGTTCCTGGCAAATAAAAACGCAAAGAAAATTACAAACATATTTTCATGTTTTGAAATGCTTTTATTTAATTTAGCTAGCGTAGTGAAATTAAATTATAAGAAAATATCTCAGCAGCAGTTTGGTTATTCCATAAGGGCTAAAGCAGTCATATTTAATATATTGTGTTAAAATTTGGAGACATACTGCTTGGGCTGTCATATTAGCGGTTGGCCAAAGAGAAAGAGTTAATAAAAATGTTTTTTTTCTGTGAATCTATATTCACAATTCACCGTCATCTAACACTAAACTTTAACTTTAAAATTACCTGACAAACACATTTGTGATGAATACAAGGGTCGAGAATAAATCACTATTAGAAAAAGCTTTCCTTAGAACCCAAAATTTTTTCTGAAATTTTGCAGCGAGATCACGGAAATTATATATCAGGACTAGTCCCTTTTTTTGAGATACCAATTTGATATATTTTTTTTCTTCTCATGAAACAACATATTTATCGGAATTACCAACAACTATAGCATATATCTGCTATATAAGCTGACCCACCTATTTCGAGTTTTTTTAAAACTTTTTTTATTTTACAAGGTATCTTCATGAAATTCGGTACATAATATAATTATACAAAGATTGCCTTGTCTTGACATATTTTATAGCTTAAGCTCTTTAATTACTTTGAATCGATGAGGTAATGCATTTTTTGAAGAAAAAAAGTTTCATTCAAATTTTTTCAAATCACAAAAATTTTATCACCATTGAATGAGCTCGGTTAATATAAGATATGTAAGTGGTTAGCAATGAATTTCATTACACAAGCTTAAACTTCAGAAAATAAATGAAGCTTAAGCCAGTGGGAGATGCTATCATCACAATAAACACATACACACACTCTAAGTTTGTCATCTCTCTTAAATGTCAAGCCGACCGCTCTTTCGCTTCAAGCGCCTGTTAGATTGAGTGCAAGTTACGTGCCCTCGGTTGCTACTGTCATTATTATAGTACAATCTGAATTTTGTTTGCACAAAAAGTAACAACAAATGATGCCATATTATTTTGGTTGCCAAAAGTGTCATGAAATAAAAAATATTTCTCGTGTAAAAGCAAATTGCTTATGGTTGGTGCATGGCAATCAGCTAGCTAGAAACTAAAAGAAGTTTACGAAGAGACAATTGTATAACGGCCGTACTCTCGAGTACGTAACCCCAGTAACACTTTTGGTGGCGACGCAACGACGCGCCACAAAGTCTCTTCTCCACCATGCTTACTCTCAGCAGCTTGCTAAACTTGCAAATATCTTTGAAATAGTAAAAATAACAATAACAGCAATAGTGGAACAGTTTATTATTGAGCTGGAATTGGCCTACTAAAACTGCCGCATATGCAAGGTCTCAAGGACTTATGGTGGCTGGCTGAAGATTACAAACCTGATTAAGCACAGTGTTTTGGTTTAGGTTTCACAATGGAAAAATGTTCCACAACTAAAAGGCAACCTTATTTTGGCTATGCACCCAAAGAAGTGCTTCGTTGGCGTAGGAAAATTTTATTGTGAAGCTATACAGAAGGCAACGGAAGAAAACACGCTGCAATAGAAGAAAGTGCTACCCAGACAGTCAGCCAAGTGAAACCAATTGATGAAGAAGAAAAAGAACAACAAAAAAAGAAGAAGACAGAGAAGTATGGGATACGATTGGTAAAACATTGTAAAATGTAATGAGTGTGAGGATGGCACCAAAGTGACCGCCGGCACAGAGGCCAGTCAGCCGCCAGCAAAAGTCCAAACAGCAAGCGAAAAGGCCAATAAATGCTTACAAATAAAAATTTGTTGGTTTTTGTCTACTCACACAGCTGTAGCGCAGGCATAACATATAACTGTAATCAATATTATTACAATTCGAAATGTGGGTTAAAATCAGAGGGGGTGTTGGTGAAGCAGTAGGTAACGAAAGAACTTGCGATTTGTTGGTTTGGTTTTGGGGCTTGTCCCTTGGCGGAATCAGCTGTTAGTGACAAATTCTATGGCCAAAAATACGCTACAACAATAACAAATATAATAAAACGGTTCTGGTAAAGTTTCGTCTTTGTTTTGTGTTTGCATTTTCTTTGCGTGTTGTTGTTTGCCCTTCCGCCGGATGTGCGAGCAAAGTTTTAACAAAATAATAGCCTTAAGTGGGAAATGAAAAGACATTAACACACAAAGCGACAAACTAAGAAAAAAAGGCAAAAACAACAACACATTTAATTGGTTTCATATGTCCCATTCATTTGTCAATTAAAATTATTTGATTTGTTAATATTTTCTCTTTTCCCTTCCAATCCATTCATATGATTAATAGGTCATAAAGAAAAAATATAAAATATACGGTCAACTCAACAGCAAAGAAAATCACACTTTCTGTCCTAATTATTTTTTCCGATTCAGCGCACCAAATGTCCATTTCGTTGTGGCATAATAAAGCTTATCGGCAGCGCTAGATTTGATACGAGTGATACCTTGCAGGAATAGCGAACTCCTGCGCTTGTTAAATCATTGCAATGGCTATCATTTTGTGCTTCAACATACCTCTGTATAAGCATTAATTAAATGTTTTACGTTAAGCGCAGGCACTTTAGTCTATTAGTGGCGCCACATTTAATATGCTCAGTCACTTTGTTTATTCGCTCACTCATTGACCAACTCACGCTGCGAAGCTTTTGAGCAAAAAAGTGGTCAGTTATTGTTTACCACCGCAATTTACTTTCCTGTTTACCACATTGTCATCAAGCAAATGCGATAACTCTCGCCGTCATCAACGAGCGTCACTCTCCTGTTATAATTTACTGTTGTGTTTGTGGTGTTACAGAAAAGTACCTATCATTTTCATGTCATTACTTTTCGAATTTTCTGTTATGTTAAAAGTGCAATGAGGATATTTCGTAGTTTGCTGGACGTATTGAGTGTGCTCTGATTGTGAGGCACGAACTTCGGTAACAATCGTAAAACCAAAAGGTATTTAAATTTTTGTGTCACTCACTGCAACGTAGACTGATTGAAAAACTTGAACTCTATTACAGTTAAAATATATTGTGAGAGTTAAAAAAAACTGTCTGTTTTATAGTCGGAGGTGAATCGGATACAAGTTTTTACGTTTCTTTACACTTGCGCAAATAATATTCAGAGTTCGTTACTGATACAATTGCAACAATAACAAACGTGAAATTTACTGATTAGTACAGTGAAATCACTATTAAAAGTAGCTCTTTCTTTTTGGATAGTTCAGAAATAATAAATATATAAATACATGTGATTTTCGAAGAAGACGAAAGTTTCACAATTTATAACCTAACTTTAAGACGTGTTTCCACTGTCTATTTCATATAAACTTCATTCTATAAGAGCAAAAAAACTGAAGAATGTTAACTAACGCACAGGTGATTAAACGATTAACTGTCTGCGCGTCTGTGGCGATGAAATGAAGTGGAAACAGCAGCCCATTGAAAACTCTACTAATTCGAGAGAGATGGAATTTGTAAGAATATTTGTAGCTGATGGCTATTCGCAGCGAGATGATACCAGTGCGCTTTCTACAGCGGTCACTTCTCCTGAGTCAAGTTGAGTTTAATACCGATTATGTTACATAGTAAAGATAGATTACAGCGGACTGGTTGGAAATGTTGTACGGAAGGAGATAAGCATGCGTTTTACCTAGAAATGTTTTGTAAATAACTAAAGCTTGTCAACTACAGACAGTTAAATGAGAAATCAGTAGGTCACAACTATGTAATCCTTTATAAGCTTGTCAGCTTTGAAGGAATATTTAGATATGTTTGAATGAGCCAGTAAGGTCGTCTCACTGGTCACTTTAAGCTAAAGTGGAATGAGTTGGTGTTACTTTCTGGCAGTACACGAGTCGGAAATATTTCTGCTTGGAACCTTTTGGTCTTGGAAGAAAGAATTTAAAATTTTGTTATTGCCGTAATTAGAAAGTCACAATGCAGTTAAAACATTTAGCAGATATAGGAACTCTAGGTGGATGGTTCTTGAATTGTAAAATAACGAACAAATGGTATCTTAAATACTGTGTTTCTTAAAGTGATTTTGTGTGGAGTAAGACCAAGAAAAAGACCGAGACCTAGACCAATACCAAGATCAAGATCAAAACCAAGACCAATACCAAGACCAAGACTAAAACCAAGACCAATACCAAGACCAACACCAAGACGAATACCAAGACCAAGAGTTGCGAAAAAAAATAACAAACAAAGGTCGACATTACAACTTACTTATTAGAGCGACTAACAGAGTACTTGAGTTATGAGATCTACAATACTGGGTATCCAAACCTCTCTGGTTTCAGTAGCATCAAATATTATATATATACCTTTAAACTTTTCTACAATTATTCGTTCTTCCACTTACCTTGGATCTCTGACAGGTAGGTAAGACGCTCAGCACTTGGCTGCTGGGGTTCCTCATGATGCATATAACATCATCATGATCAGCAGCTAACTCCTCAACATTATCAACATCCGTTGAATCATCGTCATCTTCTTCACTGGGATTACCATCATCCGACTGGAAATTGAAAATTTATTATATTTTAAAGAGAAAGATGAAGTTTTTTTTTAACTTCTTTATTTTTGAAATACTTATTAGTTTTTTTAATTACTTAATGCCCTGTATATTATTTGATGTTTTTTATTTTGTTTCACTTTTTTTTTATATGTTTACTACTCACCGATGCGAGGGATGCGCTGCTGCCAAGTATAATTGTACCACCGCCAGCGTCACATGAGACCATCGGCGAGCATTGCTGCACCGATGCGGACTTCGTAAGTGGGTCACATTTGGCGCCGATTTACATTCAACTCCACGCATCTACAAGCCCTGGCCACAGGTTAACGAGAACTAGGTGTGAGCCCAAAGTCAAGCATGCATACATATGTATATGTTGAATGGGCTTGTAAGCCGCAGGGCACTGTGAAATAGTTAAGTTGTGGCAGAAGTTGCATAGTTGCAGCAAATGTAGATATTCAAAAGCCATACGGAGAGAAGTAGTTATTTTTGTTATTTGCAAGACACCATCGCAAATGTGGTAAAACGTACAACAGGCAGAATGATAAGAAGTTATAAGTTATTAAGGCGTGTTTGGTATTAAAATATGCATAATATCTGTGTATGTATTTGTGTGTATAAATTTGATACATATATGTATATATATAATCGGCAATGTGTGTATAGATTAAATATAATAATAATGCCTGACTTTATAAAAAGTCAGAACTATACGCAAATTTGTATGCTGGTAAAAGACAAAAAATTAGGAAGACGACAAAAAACAAAAACAAGTACAAACAGCCAGATAATGATAAAATGATGATGAACTGAAGTTATGTAGGTATATAGGTATATATGTATATATATGTGTGTATGTGCATACGGACTTAATTTAGTGTATGGTATTTACAAATAAATATTAAACTGGGCGCGGACGCATTAAATGCCAAAAATGGGCGTAGAAACAGGATGCTTATATTTTTGTGTGCTATTATATATGCATATCTTATTTACACACATATACAGATATGAGGTAAATATGGTAAATGTGCATAAATGTTAAGTAATGCTGGATAAACATATGCGAAGGCTTAAAACCCACATAATCACAAACTAGTGTGTAAACGTTTGTAGCCGCAACCACATTGGTATAATTACTATAGTAGATACGAAAGGTTGCCATATCGGAGAAATGTGTTAAAATATTTTTATTAAATAATTTAGGAGTTTAACAATGTGATATATTTCTTTAGATGAAAGAAATGTTTGATAATACCTTAACACGCGATTTAGGAGTGTAATAGGGTTGCCATGTAATAGAAATTGATTAATTCTACAGAAATGAAATTGTAAATTAACGAACTGTGTGTCTTTCTAATTTTAATTGAAGATATAGAAAAGTCATTTAAAGCCCAATGTCGATCTTATTAAACAAATCTCTACCAGTACGAATAGCTATGAATGAGATCTTTAGTCTTGCCGTGATAGAGGGTTTTAGATGGTTGGGAACATCTTTAACTCGATAAATACTAGATCACAAACATTTGAAGCGCAATTCAAGATCCAAAGGACTCCTAGGAGAAGAATACTCGAAACCCAACAATGAAAATGACTGTGACTTTCTTGTAATATGTATATTTTTAATCGAGTTATTGAATCGACATTGAGTAACAAGAAATGCATTTAAAAATCATATTACGCCGGCTTAGCGAAAAAACGGCTAAGTTCCAGCTATTGCCGCTTATGTCAGTAACGCTTTTGGAACTCATGTCGGACGGTTTCTTATAAATACAATTTAAAGAATGAATCACACCTTCGGACAGCTGAGTTCAATGAACTATGAGGTGTACTAACGGAAAGGAAAATCATTAATATTTATTCCATACAAAATAAAAAAAAAAGTTTATTATTCTGCAATACCAAATGGCGGACGAAATATTTAATATAAACACAAACTTTTTTGTATTAATGAAAATTTTGAAGTTAATTCATAATTGATGGCAACACTTTGCGGCAGCATACATATAGTCTATTCACCAGTGGTTTACTTATACCCTAACGCTAAACCATATTATATATGTATGTACAATAAATATTTTGTTTTTTTCATGCCTATACCGCAAACAGACGAAAGAGTACCAAACCGCCGTTGGAGTTTTTATGCCCAACAGTTTATCCAATATGAAGGCGCATATGCGACAGGAAATAAGCCGCCTCGACTTATATGCTTATATCGTTGCTTTATAGAATGTAAATACTTATATGTATACATAAGTACACTCTTGTGTGGATAAGAATATTTTCGAGCACTTCGAGTCATAAGCGAGTGAGCATGCTGCGATTTGGCTTTCAATGAAGTTGGTTATGCTTTCGTATGTGTCGTACCGAGAGTTTTATGTGCAACAACCCTTCATCTTAACAAATGTTAACTACTTAGACGGATACACATAAGTGACGAGTCAGAAAGTCGCTGCGTTTCAATAAGTGCGACATGTAGCCAGCTAAGTTCGTGTAAGCAGACATCGTAAGACTGTTCGCGTCAGAGTCAACCAGCGAGTCATCTTCATCTCGTTGCACTTAAATGACGTTTACTTTTCGTGACTTTCCACTTGCATTACAGCTAGAGTGCAATTAAGACATAAGACACTAGCAATAATTTAACATAAACACTTTCAGCCTCACTCCAGGTTGCCTGTCGAACGAGAATTACTGATTTTGCGCTGAGGGCAAGTGAGTTTATTAAAGGTTCTGTTATTACATGTAGATTGTTGTGTGACGTAATGAGGACTCATACTGGAGTATGAAAGTGTAATGTGCAACAATTTCGCATATCCTATTTATGCAGTTGTTATTTTGTAGAGTTTACAATGCTTAAATTACATTGTTAGAATTGAAAGTATATATAGAAAGTAAAGTTTATTAACTTTGAGATTTAGTAATTAAAGGGCGTAAAAACTTCATTCATATTTATGAGTAAAATTGCTATTCTATGGGACTGCCGAAGTCTATAAGCTTAAATAGAGCCTCGTTCTATATGTCCCACTCCTAACAAGGTACTCAATTAATGCACGCTGAATATCTGAGCACTGAGAACTTTCAACTTCTCTGATTAATCACTTAAAGAAAATAAGCAGTATGAGCATATTTTAATAACTCCTATGTCACGTCGAATCTATATTTTACCAATGGCAACGAAATTATTGACAATACAAGTACAACCTCGTTTATATAACAAGTACGATTTAGTCGTAATTTCGGTTCCAAATACTCTTGTAAAAATGCTAATTCGCAATCATTCAACGAACTCTTAGCAATTTTTACAATCCTTCCTTATCCACTATAAAACTTTTGTATGTATAATGAATAGCAGAAACCATATAATATTTACCCGCGTATAAATCATCAATATTGTATTAATCTTTTAATTTAAAAACCGAAATTTCACAAGCCGCACAAAAGAGCTAGCGGAAATGATGTGAAAAATGAAAGCTTTACACTAATTAAAATGTAAACAGTCGAAAATTAAAATTCAAAAGAAAAGTTGAACGATTAATAATGTGAAAATAGGCAAAGGGATATACTGTGAAAATCACCCGAAAAGAAAAAACTAAAGCACAGAGGAAGCAAAAAGCGTTAGCAATGCTAAGCTTTAATGTTTTCACCTCCACCATAAAAGCACAAACACACTATACTTTAAAGTAACTGATAATACTTACTTCAGTCAACTCTTCCACCTCCCACGTTGAGCACTTCTCAATCATGCAGGGCTCCTGTGTGGCTGGGTTTGGCGCCCGACACGACACATCGAGTATCTGTAATGAAGAACACGATGAAAGAAAAATACAAAAACAAAGAACATCAGGCATAAAGGGAAAATTATATAACAGAATTGCTGATGGTTAGCTATTAATTCAAGAAACAACAACAATAAAAACAAAAGAAGAAAAGTGTGGGATAAACTTTCAGTAGCAATTATGAATACAATGACGGACGCGAATCTAGAGAGAGAGAGAGAGAGGACAACAGAGCTGCGAGCGTTTTTTGATAGTTTTCAAAGCGCTCGAAATAAATAGGAGGTTCCACAGCAATAAACGACGTAAACTCTAAACTGTGTAAAGTCTGGCAACAGCGGACAAGTACGCGCTGAGTAGAGTGTATGAAAAGAAGGGCCAAACTAGGTATGAATAATATTTAGCATTTCTTGCTGTTGTTTCACGGTTTTGTGTTTTCCTCGTAAATTTTATTATTCTTCAGTCACTTTCTTTCTGTTTTCTGGCAAACTGTTGCTATTTTAAGACTCAATTTACACTTACCATTGTCTTGATGCCATTATTCTCCTCCGCACAAACCACCATGCGCTCACGGTAGCCAGGTTCACAGAGTCGGCTGCATGAACTACAGTCGTCAGTGATCCACCTGAAGCGAAATGAAAACGATGTTAATTAAAACATGCTATTTTTTTCTTTCAAAGAGTAGATACAAGAAGTTAGAGTGGATATGTGGCATATGTATATCATGGAAAAATTGGGATTGCGAAGTCTCTTATATATGGATAGTAGGTAAACATTTACTGGAACAATATTATGTTAGCTCAATTCGTAATTAACGCAATTTAAAGAATGATTTTTTTTAAACGTTTCACCATATTGTTGCTCTAATAGTGAGAATACAATCAGCAAGTTAAGTTTAGTATAGAGAGATGCATAAGACTTAGTGCAACCAGGAAACTAACAATTGAATGTTTTTTAAAAAGAATACTAAGAATACTAAAAGAAGACCAAGACTAGATACCAATATAAATCGAAAACACTCTTCGTAGAGTCTGACCATCTAACCTTATGTCCAAATTAATGGCTTCTTCAAAATATTGTGGTCTCATATCTTCGCTACTGAATCTTGACACAGATAAAATGTTCTCAAATGTAATAAATCTGAAGACTAGATATATCATGAATATTCCAAAAGAAGGTTTCAACCATTTTTGAGCTCCACGTTAAAAAGTCTCAAGTTTTTAGATACCAACAACTATTAGCACCAAGAGCTAATAAGCTATCTATATAACCTCAAAAAGGCCTCAGAGCCTCACAGCAACTGATTGGCTCTACTGGTTATGATATAATAACTGGACTGTATTAGAGTTAAAAAGTATCCACTGTGCACGGATATCAATGACCAGGCCGGCTATTAACCCATAAGTACTCATAAAGCTGGTATCCAAATAAAGGGAATATTTTATTATTAACGAAGAAGCTACGATTTACAATAAAATACCTTTAAAATGTTAAAGCGTTTTTAGCAGATCACTTAACTTCGATAATGTACTTTAAGTTGTAGTGTTTAATAAATTAAAAAACTTTGCACTATGTAACTAAAAAAGTATTAAACACTCTACCCTCCTATAGCTCATTTAAATGCTTTCGCTGATTCTCGAATGAACGATAAATATCTAGGATAATATCAAACTGAAACTAGGTGGTCTAGAAACCAGAAAACTCAAGATTCAATTGGCAGTCGTTTGAGAAAGTGTTGAAAGAATTATACTCTTATACAATAGTAGATTTTTTAAAAATGTCCCTTGCACATTTGTTGTTTCAATAAGATTCCCAGAGTATTGGAAGCTGGATGAAAGTTTTAACCAGCTTATTTGCTAAGCAAACTTGAGAGCTGAACATATTATTGCACGGTGAGAGCTAGTACTAAGGTGGAGGTTTTGAACAAGGTTACGAGAAACAAAGTTGTTTTAGCGACAAACCAATTTTAATATGTTATGGACGCTGTTTTTTGTTTCAAAACTGACCTGTTATCTTATATAAAGGCCATAAAGGAAAATTACTTGTATCAGCAAAAAGCTTTGTGCTTCTTGTAGAAGCCGACAATTTGCTTGATGTATTTTAATATGATTCAAATTTGAAAACGGTTAATTAATAAGCTCAGACATGGTGTTCAAAAAGACAGTTTCTAGAAATATTTAGATTTCTTGCTAAATTACTTGTATTTAAGACTATCCTAAAACTAGCTGAAAATTTCCGAGACTTTATTAGCCACCTGTATGTACCGCCTTCAAGATTTCCACACAAATAGTTTGATGCACATACTTTGCATAACTGGATGTATGTAAATAAAAATATTAGTAGTTGACCCAGTGGCCATTAAGAACCTTCACATTACATATGTAATTGCCACTTATTTCTCCACATATTTTGTTTTTGTAAATTGCATCGATGCAAAATATCTTAGAGTTCTACAAAGTTACTTTTACTTTTTCAATATAACGCCGTCACCCACACAAATGCACACACGCCTGCACGTACACATTCAAATAACATTATATGTTGCTGCTGCTGTTGCTGCTTACCAAAACAAGTTCGGTTATTCAATTTGTATACAAACGAGGCAAAGAAAAGCTCGTACAACTTTAGAAAACTTTAGTGAAAGTGACAGTGGTGTTTTTCTTGGGGTGAGGCGCTTGCAAAAGAAGGCGCCAGCAGTGGAAAGTTTTTCTCTTCTAAGTGTGTTCAAGAGCTGTTAGTGGTGACGCGTTAACAATAAATGAAGTGAACATAAAAAAAATCCATTTAACGAATGGCGCCAATATGACCAAAGACAGACTGAGTGTCAGGTGATAAGATTTCGAAAAATTAACATAACAATGAAACGAAAACAATGGCAGAAATCGAAGGGAATGTCCAGCGCTAAATATGGAAATATTGCTAACGCTGCTTAATTATGGAAGTCAGTGGTTATCGGCCATTCAACATTCTTGTGCTCAGAAGTTAATAGTTAAAGATGTAGAAAAAAAATTAAAGCAAGTCTAGAGAAGGTTTTGGAGAATACAATTTAAATTGATACCCAATACAAAAGTAAAAAAGAGAGGTGCTTATATTAGAAATTTGATCAATTCAGTCTCTGTAACTTCAACATGTTAACTGTAAAATTTTTTTATTTCGCAAAATTCTGCATTATTAGTTTATTCTTTAAGAGGCTTGCTTGATATTTAATTACTTATCATTAAATTTATTTTCTAACTTCTCTCTTGGATAGTATAACACCAATTATCTATGCAAGTACTATAAGAGGAGCGATGTTCTTACCAAACCCATAGATCACTAACTAAAAGCACTCGGATTTTTGTACTCAAATTTGAAGTCCTGCTTTTTTTGTACTCATATACCTATATTATATATATATATTCATAATTATATTATATATGCATTTGTATCCGTACTCAGTTTAATACTCACATCCATATCCGTTCTGTTTTTTACTCATATTCGTTTTTACATTTATAAGTATACTCATCTTTTTGTTTATGCTAATATATATATATTCATACTCTTAACCCAAAAACGTTTGTATTTACTATTTCATATTCATACTTATAGAAGAGCTCTGCACAATTTACAGTATACTTAAAAATATGATATTGAAAAGAAGAGAATTCTTAACTTTTCAATGATAACACATTTCTCTTCTAATGCTTTAAATATTTGACCTCTAAAACTAAGTTTTGGCAAAAATTGCAAACAATAAAAAATACCTCACGGCTTCAACAAAATGCTTCCACAAAAGGTGGCAGCGAAAGAAAGCACTGTCAATAGTAAACAAGCGAAAGAATAAACAAACCGACAGATATAAAAGGTAAAAGCTAATGATGACAGTGGTAAGAAAACTCCACAAAACTTACTTGCGTGAGCACGTTTGCGTGTTGCAGAGTAACACTGATGGTTTCGGTCGTTGCGGACCGCACAGAGAGACCTCGACTTCTACGCCAGTGACACGATTTCGACACATCGGTTAAGACATCTTATAGCCCGGGCGAAACATGAAAAAGAGAGAGAGAGTGAATGATAAATACAGAAAATAACAGTTCATCGGCGAAAAAGCATAAAATAAAATAAACGAAATTTATGAAATGTGTAATCTGGGAGGAAACATTAAAGGTATGTATAATGGGTGGCATGATAAGCCCACCTGCAATAATTTCTACCAATGAAAGTGTAAAACCGATAGAACAATGAAAGACATGAAGACACATACTACAACGATAGACAAAGCGAAAGTGATGGCATTGCTGATGAGTAGAACGAGTGCGCAGTGATAAACGTGAGCGGTAATGGCGCAAAGTAGCAGACTTAAAAACACGGGGATTGCCACAGGCGGCATACAATGTTGTTGTAAAATGTAAATGTTTAAGTAGCTGCGCTGCAATAGTGAAAGCGAAGTGAAGAAGGAAAGTAACGTAACGTTTGTGTCACCAAACTTCGAAGAGAAGAAGCGCAGCCAAACGTAACACACCGAGCAGAAGCACAGCCGAAACAATGTGAAAGCGCTTATATGAAAATGTTGACTGTATGTATGTAACTATATGCAGTTGCATCCTTTACACCTTTGAGACTTGCCAAGTGGTGTGCCGCTTCAGTAATGTGCGTTGCAAGCACACCTTAGACAGCGAAGCATTAGGGAAACAGCACGCGCACGATTGCGACACTATTGAGTTAGCTTAGAAATGTTTATAGGCAAATCTAGGCTCAGTTACAGGTATACTCCAGCCGTTAAATTGTATAAAAATTAAACAAAGATATAAAAAATATTGAAAAAATTATTACTGGGTCTTCAAAAATAAAATATAAGGACTGGATAAATGCTACGCGACGGAATTTCAGATTTGCCGCCATTTAAATTTTTATTGACAAGCGTGTGACTCAAAGGTATAGTTGGATTAACTAATTCAATTGTAGCTTACTTGCATGCATCTTAAGCAAAGTCAGATAGCGGTTGTGGAAATCAGGTCTGCATAACATAATTCAGCTTACGTGTTGTCTAGTCAAAATATTGTATATAAAAACTTAGTTCAATATATATACATTAAACATAGTGAAGCATAAAACATTATTGCTAAAAATTACGTACTAAACTTCAACTCCGATTAGTTGGTCTGAAACACCCTAATGAGCAATACATAGCTAAGCTGACAAATCGAATATCACAGCTGAACGTCTTTTACCAATTAACATAGCCTAGAGTAACATTTTACAATAACAAAAATAATTACATGCAAACCCATATGCCTACAGGCAATAATTACCAAATTAGACACTCAGTGGCTCTTTATGCTTCAACGGCATATCCATGAGATTAACTAGAACTTGTAAACACCAAAACACAGACATAAAATCGCATAAATTCAATTGATACTCAGCTTTGCGGTAAGAGAGAGGAGAGCGGAATGACAACCTGGAAGGAAATAAATAAATTTCCTACCTCATTATGGGGATTTCGGCGCTTGTCTTATAGGCCTTCGAAAGGCAGTAAGGCGGCAATGTTATTGATGGCGTCTAAGGAAATTGAGAATGCGCGAAGAGAATTCGTAATTTGCGTAAAAAATGGCAAACGGTAAAAAGAAGTGGAGATTAGAAGCCAACAAATTGATTTATGTCGTTTGTCAAAGAAGAGTAAGAACATATAGACATTACTATGTGGGTGATATTGTAAAAGATGTATTTGAGAAGTTACCAAAAGTACTTATGAACAAGTATAAACAAACATATACTCAAATATATAATATTATGTACTTTCATAAATCGTTTATTCACGTAAGAGTAACTGAAAGGAAAATTGTTTATATATATGCATGTTTGCATGTATGCTTTGTATATGTGTAAAATCTATTCACGCAAATTTAGTATAGCTTAAAATTTCGTGTCACATATAGCACTTGCTGACAGCTAGACTCTTGCGTGTACCTCGTAGCACGCGAAAACAAATCACAAGCGCCTTCATGTATACAAACTTTATTTATATACGTATACATATGCACGAGTATATTCCTCGACTCCTACTAGTAAGTAAGAAACCTTCAACTTTCAGTTAAGTGTTGGTTTTCAAGTGTTTTCTTTCTTTCCCTGCAAATTCAAGGTTGTATTGCGCGCCTCACTGTGACTCTTTAGAGCTTTTCCCTTTTTTATTCACTGCCAATTGACTTTGCATAAGTCTCTTCTGAGACATTTATTTGACTATTGTAAGCTATTGTGTTCACGTCGCATGTGGCGTATTAGTAACCTGCATTGCATTTGAAATAATTGATTTTGTGTTAGGTAAAATCAATTACAATCAGTATTTCTTTGAGATGGTCTTTTGGTGAACGAATTATATCAAGTTATGGGTATATTATACCCTTTTAAGTTAACTCCACTGGTTACAACATAGAAACATGCTTTCATCGAATAAAAATGAAACCAAAATGTAATCCGGCTTTTTATAATTTCAAAATTTAAAGTAAACATTTCTAAATCAATTTTTCAGTGAAATTGAGTTAATTTAAATGTATGGTAGACACGTTTTTGTTTATTTCCTGATTTATTTTCGAAAGACTTCAGACCAGGGAAAAGAGCATACGTCGACGTATAAAAATTAGGACCATCAATTAGAATCGATTATACTGAAAAGCATTACACTTTTCTAAATTATTATTAGGCCTCAAAATAACTTTATGCTTTCTGGATTTCTTTGCTCCTTCTGAGTTGGCACTGCATTTTCTCTGAGATAATTTAAATTATGTTTTAATGTTACAACATAAATTCTTGATAAACCTACGCATTTGTTTAACTATCCTGTTTTATAATTTGAAAACATATGTGGGCATATTAACATATTCAAAACACAAATTACCAATTCAGGCACTTCCACTCGGTACCATCGCAGATATAGAGTATAGTCTAAATAAAGTTACGTGATAAGTTACAACTTCCAAAATTTAAATAGGCATTTGCCATTATGCCACACTTAGTGGCAATTTCACCAAAAGCTGAGTATGCGCCTCCTAAATACACAGCGTCGCCTATATAGCGTACTCCATGCACGAAAGTAAATGAAGCTCATAACAAAATAAAAGTGGAAGGAACGCGTACTTGAAATATCAATGTGATTTGTTACTCAAAACAAATCGGCACAGTGCCATACGGTGCACGCAGTTAAGAAACGAAAGTATACGTGAAGTATGTGCGTATTTGGGCCAAGTGAGAATACGTTCCCAAAGGTGTATGTATGAAACAAAGGAATGCGAAATAAATTTGACATGCGAAAATTGCATTCGAACTTTTATCAGCCATGCTTGGCAGGTGTGTATTCAATGCATTTGTTGGAGGAATGGATGTGAAGCAGATGACGCTGTTAAGGATTATGCGGCTTGCGCGAGGCTTGAATTGGCATGAGTTCAGGTAGGTGATGCCAAATTTAGCGAGCGAACTAAACGTGTTGGATTAAAGTGAAATTTGCGACGTCACAACGCATTGTTAGGCAATATACAGCTTAGAGGAGTTGGCTGAAGCTTGCTAAAAATAGCTGCAACACCAAATCACACCATCATATACACTAAATCCAGCAAACTGTGCGAAGTTTATTTGCAAAAATTCTAGTTACTAGTACCTGCTGCAACGGTGTCGGCGCCAATTCTTGTAGACTCCCATAAAAATGTAGTGTCAATATTTTGACATACTAAAATTTATTTGTCTCGTTATTCACGTTATTGTCGTGATATTTACGTACTTTTTGGCACACTAAGCGACAGCATGGCGGAGCCTCTTCTTTCAAGCCATTGTATGCGATTTGTGCGTGTGTGTTTGGGTAGCAATAGTTTTTTATAACAATTTCATTATTTTTATTGATTTCTCTGCGTTTACACCTACCTCCATTCTTCTTTAGAATCTACTGTCTTATTGAAATTTTTTTTCAAATGAAGGCAAAACATATTTAAAGACCACGTATACAAACGGTCTTTTGCTTAGCTTACATATTAATGAAAATGTTCATGAAATCACCTGCAGAAATTAAGTTTCCCAACACATTACGCTACTTTTCAATTTGCAGCAATTGACACGCATGTGGGTTTTCAAAATGAGGCACCTGTAAACCCGGGGAGAGTTTAGAAAGTTCCCACACATCACTTATTCACTTAGCCACCCTGGCAACGACAGATGATACCAAATGCCGAAGATTGAATGATGTATGAATACACAAACATACAAAAGTATTAAGATATCATATTCTCAGTTGATTTATTTTCGCACTTTCTTCGACATATTCGTACATTTCAAATATGTAACATGTCGAACATTTTAAAACTATTTGTATGCTCGGCTAAGTATGCTTTTGTATCGGCAGCGGTTATGGTGCTAAAACCGGCACTGGCACTCAAAGTTTGGTTCATACCCTTGAACTGAGCACCTATCATCCAAAGAACCGCATGATATATTGGCGTTTATTACAGAAAATTGAGGTCATAACTTGTCGGCATATTGAGATATGAGAGCAATGCTATGTTGTGCCACTACAACGAATATATCTGAGTTGGAGACTCTTGGCTGAATCGAATATACTAAGATTATACTGTTTCCAGCATTCTTATTTGCTGACGAGGACTAACCAAAATGCTTCTTCTGCAAATACACCTGAAGAGACTCTATGTATAATAAATACAAAATGGTAAGAACACTAAAAATAACCGAACACAAAACCTTTACCATAAAATAACGTGTAGCGTATGCATTATGAATTAGTTTAACATAACCTAATAAACACTCTTCAATTAAACAAAGTTGAAAGGTGCCACATTACTTCGTGAGTTTTTTACTGAAGTTGTAAATTAAAAAGTTTCCCTCTTATAAAAATAATAAAAAAATATTATTTTATATTTTATTATTTACATTTCCTATTTCGTTTACGAGCAACAATGCGCGAAGAGATATGTAACAGTAAACACAAATGTGATCAAAAACCACAAAAAAGTACTTTATTGCCATTCGAAAGACACTCCAAAAGCACAGAACCACACATACACATTACATTTGTTGGAGAGAACATACATACAATATGTATGGAAAAACGAGTATGTACAAGTAGGTGTGTATATGGTATTTTATGCAATGTTGACTGCCAGAGAGAACTACATTAGTGGAGTTGGGTTTTTGCGCTAACGAATGATTTATTTGTGTGCCTACGAACTCATACGAACAACAAATTGTTTACAACAATGCAAAATATGAAAAATATATTTAAACTATGAGCATTGCTAGCCTCCTTTGTGTCTGTTTGTATGCCCGGACTAGTCATCCTTACAAGTTCGGTGGAGTGTGAGTAAGTTTACGATTCACATACGAAAATGTAGAAATGTGTGTAGAAAAATATAAAAAAAGTAGTAAAAATAGAACAAACCGGCAAATAAAACCAACAATAACAATAAAGATAGACTGAAAAGAATAATAGCAATAAAAATTCAGAAATCACTAACAATAAAATCATTTCAACGAAAGTATCATAACGAGTTAGCATATAACTCAGATTTAGTGTCAATAAACTTGTATCTTTGTTGTTCGATAATTGCAGAAAATCTTTAATTTTAGAAAATTTTGTAGCTTTGTTATTGGCAGCAGAAAAATATTGAAAATAATCCAAATGTCAGCAATATAAAAATAAATAGTGGTATTATATAACAGAAAGAACACGGCTCGACATTATAAATTACACGACATCGCGTGATTTTCGGTGCCGCTACCGTGAATGTTGTCGATGTTAATAACTTTAGTTAGATAAGTAATAAAAGATAATCTCATTGCGTTTTTAAAATTACTCAAACAGTTTTTACTTCACTTGATAGCGGAAGTGAATTTTCATTAAAACTACCATAATTTTGCACTCAGCGCTAATTTAATAACTTTGCGTTATCCAACGTGTTAGTTGGAAATTTTAGTTTTTCCAATAGATTAGAATAGTATGCACATTTCGAGGCAACCCGTTCGACAACGTGTGCCATGTTGTACGCCTACCGACAGTTGCACGATCACATGATCATCATAGCGTTCGGGATCCTCAACACCTTCGGATGATGCGCTGACGCTCAAATATAAATGTGCTGAACGGCCCCTGAAAGTTAAAAAAAAAATTTTTGGTTGAATAATGGGATTGAACAACATGTGTAACTGAAAAAAAGGTAACTGATAAACTGTCAAAGTTGTATAGAGGAAGGTGAGGTGGAAACAATCAGGTACTTTCTCCTTCATTTTCAAGCTTTTGCAAGCCTGAGGTAGAAATATCTCGGTAGTCATACCTACGGCGTACCTGGCGAAATAGTTAAATTTGATATCAGTCAACTCAAACAAAAACAAGTTGACTTGTTCTCAGCGACTTAGTGGAACATTTGGGTTTCTACAACTATCGCTCCAACAGAAACTTCCAAGTGCGAAAGTAATATTTGCCTAGCAAAACAAGTACATGTCTGTCTGATGTGTGGTATATCTGATACAGAAGCTCTTACCCTTAGAGTAGAAATTAAAATTTGGTATTAAAAACGTGACTAAAAACTCCGCGTGGGTCAACCTCTCGATCGCATCCAAGCTGGATTATTGTTGATTTGACTGTTGTGTTTGCATGCTTCTATTTTATAATTGAAACTTTGTTATTTATTGTCTGTATCTGTATAATATATCTGTTTCTCAAACGACTCGGTAAACAAACCCGAAACCGGCCCGAAGGGTCAACGCGCCATGATAGACGTGAGCGTCACTGAAACCAAACCATTTCCTTCTCGCATCTATTTATAATCTACGGTTCGTGCGAGTGTTATAAATTGCGTTTGATTTTGTGGATGTGGTCAATTGTGTACCGTTGTGTCAAAAAAAAAGTGCTTACACATTTTCACGAATGTCGCGTGCCGCTCATAATCATAAATTTTAGGTAACTGACAATCCACTCTGACGTACGGCAGAAAAAGAAAAAAGAAAACAACACTAAACACATAACCGAACAGAATGGCGGTTCCCGGCGAATGCACTTATCGGACGGTGGCGACGGCAACGGTAAATGTTTGTTGCACGGTTAGTGGATGTTTGCTACATACACCACATATGATAGTTTGTTATTGCATTATTACATTCACCTGCATGTCAACGCACACGGCTCCACATAGTCGTAGAGCGGCGTCCACGTGTAGAGTGTACCATCGTAGGGCACGTCATTGTAGGCGGCACACTGATGCTCACAAAAGTCTTGCTGCTCCGCCATTGCAGGTACGTGAACAGGTCGACCACTCCGACCAGCCGGACCCTTGGCCATCTTTGCTGCCCGACGATGATGAGATGCTGCTGCTGCTTTTGGTACGCTTTTGCTGTAACATGCACTAAGTTAATAAGGGAGAAGAGACAACAGCAAAAAACAAAAGCGAAAAAAAAAACACATAAATTCGGAAGCGGTGGCAAATAGGCTTCCTCAAGTACATATAAAATATATTAATATAGGGGTGCTGGGAATATTTTAAACGGCATGGCAGAATTGGTACGAAGAGGGCGAATAGCTTTATGACGAAGATTTTTTATGGAAAAGTATGAATCACTGATCAGATAGCTCATTGCTCAAGCATTAAGTTCTGTTCAGCTAAATGTAGGAGCATATAATTGAAGCTTATGCCCTTTTTTAAGTTTAGCCGAGCACACATTTTACCATAAGTCGGCTCGGGACAACTACGAAACGTTTATAAAATTTTACGAAACATGGTCAGAAAGGGGCATTGCCTAAGGGCGACGTCAACTACTCTTAGAATAAAAAACGACCATTTTTAATAATGAACAGAATGGGAATAAAACTCAGGTCCCGCGTTTTAGCATTTCGAGTCTCTAAATATTTCGTTTCTGGTCGAAAGAATTTGTACAACGCGAATAATAGCTTTGCGGGTTCAGTACTTGTGAGTTTAGAGAGTTCTATGGATCTTACACTGTTTTTGTGCCACTACCCTTATATATATTAAACTACGTTGAGCAACCACTAAGCTTTTGTTGTTTTTGGATGTAATTTAAACGGTTACAATTGTTGTTGTTGCTAGCTTTTAAATAATTGTCTTTTGTCGTTTGCTGTCAGTCGGTAAGTCAGTCATGATGTTGCCATTTCGAATGCAAAACGACTACCTTCGAAGTTGAGGCAGGAGGCGGAAGCAAGGATAAGCGAGTACAAGCGCGTTAACTGGCAAAAGTTTCCACGGCCGCGCGTTGTGCAAGTCTTATTGAGGCGTTTTAATGCTCCATAAAACATTAACCCCACGTCACTGGCTGTCAATGTTGCATGCAACGCGAAGGGCGAAAAATGTGCACAAAACAACGGCAACAAAAATACAGATATAGTAGAATAAAACAAAAAAGTGGTGTTAAAGCAACAAGGCTGTTACGTGCAGAGAGGGGTTAACGGTATATTGAGGATTTGAGGCAACCCAAGTTAAGCAGAGTTGAGCCAAAAACGCAGCAATAATAATTTTACTCACTCGGCATTATTATTTGAACATTTTATAGCATTACAAACACATACAAACATATCTATATACTGTAGTTTTGTGATTATTTAATTTATTTATTTAACGTTTTGTAGTTAATATTTTTTATTAGTTACTGTTGTTGATGATTGTCATTGATTTTTGGGCACTTGTTTAGTTTTGTCCAATTGACAATTATTCGTGCATCCATTTTTGATGTGCACATATACATACATACCATATACACATTCTTCCTCCTGCCAACTTAAATATCACAGCTGTCACTTTGCTTTTTGATGCCCATTTCCGATCATTAATGTTGATACACAATATTGCGCTATTTGGTCACAAAAAGTAAAAATAAATATGCAGGTGGATTTCTGTAGGCAAGTAGTAAATATTCCAAACGACCTTGGCGAGTATTGTTAACCAGAAGCAATATTATGAAAAGAGTAAAAAGTATATTCCATCATATTTACTGCATACTTTTCAAGGCAATTTTTTTAATAAAAAGGTTATCTATTTTTTTTATCAAAATAAAGGGTTTTTTTCTTCAACGAGAGCGTAATGCGTAGGTAACTAAGTTCATCTATTGAATAGAAAATCTTAATTTAATCTTCTCAATTTCTGCTTTATGAATTTTTTCCAAATAAATACTAATCTATTGCGAAATCAAACTTCTACAATCTCTTTTACTTGAACTTTCAAATCGATCCAACTGCTAGATTGAAAATGATTTAAAAATCTATTTAATGGTAATTTAATTAAACTTTTATTTAACGATTTATCTCACGCCTTAAAAAATTCTGAAGAATGTAGTATTTGAGGCTTACCGAAATTTCTTAAGCTTTTGACAATCGAATAGAGACAATTACGTACTGATTGTCTCTTTTTACAGTGGTGTCATAAAAAAAATTTGACGTTGTTGACACATGCTATCTAGTAGGGTGGCGCGAATTTTTTTTTATTATTTTGCTTAGCCTGGGGGTTAAATCTGTAGATTATAAAAATAGGAAATTTTTGGACCAAAAAAAAATTTTTTTTTAACATCTAGAGGCGGCGCACTCAGTTTTAAGGTAATTTTCGAGTAAAAATTTTTTTTTGGACAAGAAAAAATTATTTTTGATTTAAACTCTCTACATTTATATAAAAATTACCGAACGTGACGGTTTTTGGCTCAAAATTTATTTTAAAGCTTAAGGAAAGCATGTAGTCGTTTAAGACTTTTTTTTAAAACTCCAATAATGACCACAAACAATTTTTTTAAGCTGATAACTTTTTATTGGCCAGAAAGAGGGCTCTTCACAGCTCCTAGGCCACTTATCAAAAAATTTTACGAAATAAAAATTTAACTCGAAAATTTACTTTAAAACTGAGTGTGCCGCCTCTAGATGTTAAAAAAAGTTTTTATTTGTCCAAAAATTTTCTTTGTTTATAATTTACAGATTTTACCCCCAGGCTAAGCAAAAAAAAAATTTTTTTTGTTCGCTCCTTCTACTATCTAAGTATTTTAAAGAATATTTACAACTAACGCCACTTCCTTTGCATCAATTTCTCTTACAGAATATATAATATAATAAAAATCATACAAAAAACTAGTTCATTAATACTTTGTAAAAGACGCATAACATGGATAAGAAATAACCTGATTACTGTAAGCTTAAATTTCGAAACAACCCTTTCACCACTAGTTTCTTAAATGATAGCAAGAACACACATGCTTATCAAGAATATTAATCGAAAGAATAAATATAAAAATAAATGAAATACTTTTCTTTCTCCCAGAAGCCTTAGGTTCAATACTTTCAGCATTCTCATTATTTATGTTTGATTCTTGCCAATAAAGCTATTTACAACTCAATCGAAATCAATTCGAAATCAATAAGTAATAAATTGAGCTCTCCGAATTCTTGCCTCATGGTAATTGATTAGTTTTATGCAACAATAAATACATTTCCTTAATGCGGGAATAGAAAAATTATGATGAAAATGGAAAATGAAAACCTAATAATTTTTCAACTAGGCGAAAATATTTATATACATATATGTATATATATATACATGCGTACATATATAGCTCACCATTCATGCGAGCACTCTGGATCGTAAATGAAAGACACCCAGCGTGTAGCATGCAACAGGCGCCCATCAGCGGTGCTCCTGCACATTTCAATTCCACGCACGTCCTGGCCGAATGCTTATTTGCCTTTGCTACACAGGCGGCAAACGCTTTTACACTACCAGTAACAGTTCACTTATTCAAGCTTTCAGACAGTCTATTTGGTTGAAACCAAACATCACAAAAAATAGTGGATTGAAATGGAGAAATATGCTGCAACAACAGTAAAATTTACAACACGAAAAATTGGTAGCAGGCGAGCACTTCAACCAGCCAAACTGACTCCTCTGCCGCTGTGGCATGCAACGGTCGGCGAGATATATCCGAAATACAAGTGTTGAATAAGAATTTTTGTGAATTCTCCGACAGCTGTGAAAATCTTACAAAGAGAGACAACATCCACAAGCATCATATGTTCAAGATTGTGTGGGTAAAAGGAAAGTGAAATTACTATTTAAGTATCTATTACGCAATTATCTCATTACAATGAGGCATAACAGTTAAGTTGCAGAAGTGAAATTGTTATGTAGCATACTAATAAACTAGCAAATTGCTCATAATTGTCTAGAATGGTTTCGCAAAGAATTGACAATGCAAATAAAAAATCAAAAAGTTTCACATCTTTTACGAATTAACAATGAATTATTTTGTGAAGTTTTCTACAGAATATTGCTTGTCGTATTAAATAAATTCTTTTTAAAAAACTTACTATTCGAAGTGAAAAATAATAAAGATACGATATATAGAATGCATATTTACGATTTTGGCATGGTATATGCCAAAGTTTTCGAAGTAAAAAAAATCATCTAAAATAATATAAAGTAACATATAATTTTATGTTCGAACGATCCTAACGCAAATTGGAAGGCCTTGAACCAACCGTTATCGGTAATATCTTTGATATTAAAGGTAAACCCTTATGAGAATAACGACGCTAATTTCGACCATAGATCGCTCTATACAATTGACACTAATTGGTCTGAGAAGAAGCTAGAGCAATTTGGGTATACTGCCCTTTGATGCAATCGTCTGTGCTCTGTTCAAAAATCAAAAGAAAATAATTTTTACGAATAGATATTTTTATTGCAATTTGGATACTGCAATAACAACACATAATAGAATTTAAGCAAATCGACATTTTTCAACAAACCCAACATTATTGTTAAAGATTTAAATAATTATATATAACCTTGCTATACCTATAAATTTAACTGTAAATTCTCTATTAAATTCGAACACTTGTGTCAACCTTTTCTCCGTTTAAAATCATTTTTCTGTAAAGTGTCATAGGTCATGTAGGCTACCACAGCGACCCACAATTTGCAAACCATTGCATATTTTCTCACTTTAAATGAACTAAGGAAAACTTAATAGCAGTAAACGGTATGTGTGAGCATGTATGGCTCTCTATTTGTGTGTAATAAACATGTTTGAGTAGAGGCTTGGACGTGGCATGCTGCCTATTTATCATGCAGAGTTAAGAGGTAGTCCTCTCGGTCGTATCGATGCCGAGCTACTATTCGCTTTGTCGCAAGCATACATATATAAATATGTATGTGTTTGATACATATAAAGGTACGAGTTTATATGATTGTGTGTATCAAGCACATACAAAAATAGATTTGCAGCACTTTGTCTCATTTACCATTCCGGTAATTATTTATTTATGAGTTGAAACAGTTTCAATAACTCATTTCACATGACGCTCGGATCCAGCCGAATGTCAAAAGTATTGGAGAATACAGAATGTGTCAAAAAGTTCGATAAAAGTGAGAAGCAGAGCACGCTAAAGACTGATGGTAGTAAGTTGTAGAAGTATAAGTGTAAAAGAGAGCGGTGATGGGCACTGCCGGTACTAAAAAAGATAGGAAAATTGAAAAGTAAACTAAAAATGTACCTTAGAAACAAAATTTACTTTCACGCACGCTTACCAACACAAATATGTACTTATTTACGCGCTGCAAATGTGTCGGTAAAATTTTTTCCATTTGTTTATATTTTTATATCTTGTGTGTGTTGTGGAACATTTTCTTTCAATGTGTCAGTTAGTTTTTCCAAAAGACAGTAAATGTCAATGTAAGTCGCATAGCTGTAACGGAAAAAAAAGCTCACTAAGTACATCCGAGCATATTTCTCTTTAAGTACACAAAAACATATATGCTTGACTTGCCGCCTATAAATATGCAACGATAATGTACACGAGTTTTCTACTTGTCGTTTTAAACAAATGAAGAAAATAGAGTAATAAATGGATGGACCTAGTGAATAATTCTGAGCGAGCGCGTGTCGTAGCTTTGACAAGGGACGAACTGTTTGATGGATTTGACACATATGTATTCATATACACATGTAAGCATATTTATGTATTTAAGCTCAGCAAGAAACAGGCAAAAATAGAAATGTTTAACATAATATAGCAATGCTTAACATAACATAAAAGCACATAAAAGTATTATTCTGCAACTTGTACCGTACGCTGTCCGCGCACCGCTTGGCCATCCATTTTGATTGCCTTTCCTTGGCAGCAACATTAGCCAAGGTTGCGCTGTCTTTCAATCAATTTGACTGACATTAATTTTCACTGAGTTTCTGTTCAGTTTTGTGAGGATTTAATTTGTCTTCCGGTACTAAATCAGCGCAACGACATTTAAGAAGCAAACAAGCACGAGCAAAATTATTGTTAGGTATATAAGTATTCCTTTATCTAGTATATGAATCGATCTACAGAAATTGGAACAATATAATAGTAATTCACATAAACGAATAGACAAGAGAAAAAATTACACGAAATAAATAAATGAGTCATTTAGACTAGTAAGTTCAATTGTTTAAGAATGATATAGATATGGAAAATATGAACTGATTTCTAAGTTAATAATATATAGAATTTACCATCAGATCAAAAGCGCGAGTAATTCGAATCGACCAAAAATGTTTTGCTAGATAATTACAACTGTTTTATGTTGGTATAAAGTTTGACTTCCATATGTCAATTAGTGTCAGAGAGATAGCAAAGGATCTCAAGATTTCTTATGGATCGACTAAACTATTTTGGTAAATGTTTTGTGTAAGAAGCATTTAAATGTTAGACTCGTACCGAGAAACTTGAATCTTTTGCTGATAACGTAGTGGAGGATCTTGTATTTGCTAAATGCATGATTACTGGTGACGAGACGTGGTTTTATGAATATGACGTCGGAATTGTCGTACAATCTAGCAAATACCGCATTAAAAATTAGCCGAAACCCAGACAAAGCTAAATTAGCTGAAGACATTGAAGGACAGCGCAGCCGAAGCTAGATAAGTGTATAAAAGTTGGATTAATTTCTACTTGGTTGGTATTTATTTCGGTGGTAAAAATATGACTGGTGGAAATATCATGGAAATTAATATTGTAACTGTCGTATAG